CGAGCACGCGTACTGATGCTTTAATCCCCTTGTTTTGATAGTATACATTTATATTTCATTTTTTCGTCCCGATTATTCTTTATTTCAGTTTCAAAAGATCAAGGAAAGCTATTAGTTCACATTTAAGGAGGAACTTCGGTCTACTTTAATTCCTCCTTTTAAAAAGTTTAATGGACTGTTTCATATTTTTATTGTTATGTTTCATGCTACTTCTCCCGTGAAGCTTTGTTCGGCGCTGCGTCATCATCTTTGTTCTCCACAGAGGGTGACAATCGAGATGAGAGTTTAATGCCCTCTGGTGGCAATAAATTAAAATAAGCTGAAAGCAACCTAATATCTTTTTTGTGGTCGTCTGTTTTGTGTAATCCCCGTGGTTTACTGATTATCATCTAGGCATTATCCCCCTTTGTGTTTTATTGGTTACGTATCGTCAATGTCAGAAGAACCGCTGTGCCGAAAACCTATTTATGACTAATCCCGTCACCATAATATAATGTTTGCAAAGGATAGATCATTATGTGGAAACGAGTGAGTAACGAAGCGGGGAATAGTTCATTTCAAACTTGCACAATGTTATCTACTTTTATCATTTAAAATGGGAGTTGCTGGAGGAAAGTTATTTGTAAGTTTAAGTTTATCTTTGGTGGAGATCCACACAAGAGCTCAATAAATGGTTTTATGGGGACGTGTTGGTCTGGAAATGGCTTACATGAACTCCCGTATTCAAAGACCTTTCAGTTAATGGTTCCACTTTATCAAAGAAAATCGACCACTTTCACTATCATTTTGGTGGTATTTTCTTGGATGTTATATTCTTTAGACAGTACTGAAGATAAAAAAAAAATCGCACACTTTTTTAGATATTCAAAGATGAATACATAATAAGATGCAAAGACGCTGTAAACTGCCTCCCAAAACGCTTCTGTATTCTGAACAGTATTAGGCTCACTATGAGATAAAAGTACCTGGACTCTTGTATTGTACCCACACTGGCAATATGTGGATTGGGTGGACCTTCAATTATATCAGCAGTAGCTGGTGTGTTCTGAAAAATAAAAAAAATACAAAAGGAGTCACACTTTATACAAAATTAAACAATTAAAAAGACTTTTCGGATCTCAAGTGTACAAAGAGCTAATTATATGTAACGGTCAGTTCAATTTACATGCAACAAACTAAACTGACTTTGACGTCGATTCTGGTGCATTGGCGTTTATTTTAATTTCTTTCCGTGTGTGTGTGTGTGTGTGTGAGGTGGGGGGGGGGGGTACTTATAGGCTCTCCACCAACGCTCCCGGGTATAAATTAGGGCCCTGATTCAGAACACTCTGTGCAACACTATAAGTCTCTAATAAATTCAGAATTGCATCATATCGAGAGTCTTTGTAGTAAATAAAGACCTATTTACTTCACATTTCTGAATAATAGTTTTTATTTCTGACATAATCTTTAAATGGCATTTAGTAACTGGATAGAGTAAAGACAAAAACACATACCTATGGACAACAGCTACTAGTGTATTTTAAGGCGACGTTTCCAAAAATATTTTCTCGGCGTTATCAAGCTCAAATACACTAGTAGCTGTTGTTCATAAGTATGTTTTTTTGTCTATTTATAGCAAGTAGGCTATAAATATTTTGGTCATTTTGACACTGACATATCATTTAAGAATTTTTTAAACTGAATTTCTGGATACCAACATTCTTGTCAACTTTTACAAGTACTAAATAAAAATATTCATTGAATGTTAAGTAGGACATGTAATATGAGATGTTACATCTGTAAATCAGAAGTTTCTCTTTCTCTTTTTACTGCATATGAATTCTATAAACACGACTTCTATAAACATCCATCGATCGGACAAATAAGACTGAACTGGATATTTGTCCTATGCTTCATGGTAATGTGACGAAAGAAGTCAACAATTTTACTCCAAGAAAATGTACCACAAATTGGGCGAACGTTTTCTAAAGACATGTTTATATTTTAGGCCTATCAAAACATGCGAAACGCAAGGGAACAAACTCTAAGGTAGTCGTTGCTATGGGATACTATCAAAACACTAGTCGAGGTAAGGTAGCTACGCTTACTTTGGTTTAGGCATATTTACAGTGGATTATCATATTAAATTTCAGTATCACCAAATTCACCGACCCCAGTTTATTAGCAACATACCTTTATTACTCTAAGGGATATCCTCACTGTGACTCTGTGACTTCTTCGTTATCCATCGTTAGCAAATCCATGCTTGCAGAAAATTTCTTCGGTGGCGGAAATACTCGATGCAAGCTGGGTAACTTATAAAACAAACACTACATTAAACATTATAATACATAGTGATTTCATTCTTAAACATTTTTGGTTTTCCGATTTTCGATCTACACCCACACACTATAGGCTATAGGCGCAGGCCTACTAAAATGTAGTCTAGGCCTCGGCTACACAAACATGAAAAATACATGAATAAATAGCAGTGAATCAAACCAATATTCTGTCTAAATTCGAAAACACATCGATTTGCTGACAAGTGGCTTTAACCAGGGAGATTCATTTGGCCCCTGTATGTCACAATCAAGTTCCGAACACTGCTTCCGTGAAGGTTTAATTCCCTTTATTCAATAGGACTCCAGATCTTTAACATCGACTGTTATTTTTAATGACATATAAATTATTAAATGATAATGCACTGGGTTGAACCAGTGGTTCAACGTACTGCATTGACAGTGGTTCAATGTGCCCCATCACAGTTTTATGATAGAAGTTTTAAAAAAATTCCAAATGACCTTTGTGGATCTAACTCTTGTTTATCTGGATTGTAGATTAGACATATGAATTGATTGTAAGTCCATGTACAAGAATTTTCCTCAACTAAGCGGGTAAAAGGTTTGGAAAATGATAAGTTGAAGTATGGAATTTTCACTTTTAATCCCTCTTTTGAAAAAATCAGCGCCTAACAAATAATTGACAACGCGTTGGTTCTGCCTGATTGACGTAGAAGCAGGTGTAAAGAGTTATCTCTCTTCTGTGTAGTCTTGGGTTCCCTAATATTATTTCTTAAGGATATATCAATGGTGGTTCAATGTACCCATATGTACAATGTGCCCCGGTCTCCCCGAAGCCCAGACTGGACCTCGGTGTCCATCCAATCCGAACGACTAGACATAGGTCCTTGTTAGGCCTCCCGTTCTACACCACTAGCAAGGTGGAAACCACGGTGGAAAATCTCGAGGAAATGTCTCGGTCAACACCGGGATCGAACCAGGAACCTGCAACTTGACGCACTCAGTCACCACCACTCATCAGGCTATGCGATGGACATGTAGCAAACAAATTACACGGGTCCCTATGCGCCAATATATGTGTAGGGTGTTGTAGTGGAAAATAGATCTTGCACTGTGGACAACGTGAAGGAACTAATGGCACGCACAGGGTCATCCTTACACTTTCTTGTGTCAAAATACTCGTGGTTCAGTCGAAACAGCCGCACCAAATTTTGGGTATCGACATAGCTTGCGTTAACAGGGACTATCTACCCCCCCCCCCCCCGCCACCCCCCCCCCCCCAAAAAAAAAAACCAAAAAAAAAAAACCGATCAACCCAACACTTACTTTGGTGCAACAGCAAAATGCGAGTAACCATCTCACGCAATGTTAAGCTTATTGTGGTGTAACCATGATTTTAAACCAAACAGGGTGTAATAATTTACACCCTTTGCTGTGTTAACTGCACATAATTTTAACAGTGTATATAGGCTCTGGAGTGAAGGTTTAAACACTCGCGTATAGGGGATCTTCGTCGTAGGCTTTGTACTTTTGAAATCATATTCCTGTGTCAATGACCGAGAGATCCCTCTCGAGATGGATTAGGTCCAATAAAACGAAGCCCTGCGAGCATTATGTTGGGAAAAGGGTTGATCAATTTCTGGTGTGTGACCGATTGCTATAATAATTCAAAAATAGATGCTAAAAAAATTGTCACTGTTGGAAGTTTGGACTAGAAATAGGCATCAATTGTGTCTGCACCGTCTATGAGAATTTGCGATCGTTTGATTGACAGACGATAACTCCACCTACATATTCTCGATTATCAAGTAACATGCTCGATGGCTTTTATCACCAGTTTCCGGTAGTTACATCAGTGACTAACGGTAAACGTTAACTTGGTCCGCCATTTTTTGATTAAATTTTAAATGAATGACTGTTTAAATCCAAACTGTGTTCAAGCCATCCGTGGGTCTACAGGGTTGATTTTGAGCTTGTCATGTAAATAAAGGTCTAATTAATAATTTCTGTAACATCTGAAGCCTAAAAAAAGACTTGCAATAGGCAGATTTAGCTCTTGCATAATGTATGTTTAAGTAATATATTGAAACCAACACGAGGGACGTTTTTGCAAAAAAATCAGCAATCTCTTTGACCACAGCCCCTCAATATTAAAATATTGCCATCGATCAGAAAAGAAAAATGCTGTGTGTTGAATAGGAACCATTAACCGGAAACCTAGTTGAAAAGTATATCAGAAAATATAGTAGCACAGTGAGGAAGGCGCGGCCTCACTAGGAGGTTCGGGGTTCGATCCGGGTGTTTGCCGAGAAAGTACCCCGGGATTTTCCAGGTGTTTCTGAAAATGATATTCTGTTATGTGTACTATACAGATTTTTTACTGGTGTGGTTTTCCCCTCTTCAGTGGTGCAAAACGGGGGTCTGGCAAGGAAAAACAGTAAAATCGTTCGGATGAGACAAAAAACCGAGATCCCGTGTACACGTGCACTAAAAAGAACCCTTAACAGTTGGCTTGGAATGGAAATGCTGACCAGATTTCCATCATAGCACACCACATGGCGTATGCCCCTCTTCATTAGCCTGTCGGTGCAGAAAAGTAGGACGTGAAACCCCAGTTATTCCTTCATACATTGGAGCGGTTCAAGTAGTACATTTTCACTCATAACACACTGTATGGCGTATGGTTGGTGCAGAAAATACAACGAAAACAATTTTATTGAACTGAGCATTGTAATGTATTCTTGTTAGTTTTTTTATGTATAATTAAATAAGTGAATAATAATAATAATAATAATAATGATATTATATTTACAGTAGAGTAAGAGGTATACACAGTAAGAATTGCAAGTGTAATACTGACAATGTATTCATACACAAATAAACCTCTATGAGCATTCAAGATATTTACACATTCCAGATACAGACAATTTCATTAATGAAACAATATTCTTTCTTTCATAGGTTTTTCTAGTACTAAATTTATTCACCCTTCTCTAATTCTATTAACTTAAGAGAAGCAGAACTCGGGAACATCTTTTTAAAAGTTTTTATTTCAGGAGCAAGTTGTTCGCTTAGTTTCTCCAATTCTATTAACTTAAGAGAAAACGAAATCTTGTTTTAGGTTAAAGAGACACTGTCACATTGTCGAGAGAGTTTCTATAAAAAGTTTATAAATATTCATTATTCAACACTAAGTCTCTTTTTTACTACTCACATTATAGTTAATAATTTGAGTCCTGAATGTGGACACCGTTGTGAAGATTATTATACACACAATTAAATAGGTCAAAAGAGTAACATAGAGGTAGACAACGTGTAAATTAAACAATGTCCGTCTTGTTCAGATATATATATAATAGATATACTAAACCGAACAATAGAAATTAAAAAATGTCACTATGCACAACATAACTTGTTAAATACCTCGATATTTTGTAACTCTGTACATGGCACTATATAGTACATAGATCATACCCGTTTTCTGAATCGTCAATCTAGACTTAATGTCTTTGGCTAATAGCTTCTTTCACAAGAAGTCCAATGCTTCTAACAACACGCTCGGTTCGAGCAAACTGGCAACAAGTCAATCACATTATGTTTATTAATTAAATATTTAATTCGATTATCGATTATTCACGCTAATCGATTAGTGTTTTTATTGCAGCATGCTTCTTGTATGGTGAAGCTACAAAATTACGTGATAAACTATTTTAAACACATAAACATATGACGTCAGCATTATTCAACACCTCTACACAAGGATATGGCGTCACTAGGTCAACCTGAGATTGTTTCTCCCGTTAATGGCGACATGACGTGGGATCGCCCAATCCATATATGGTCATGCAGTAACCACGAGATTCTCGTGTAGGTCGATATTTCTATATATATAGACTGTTTTAAGCAACTGTTATAAGCTGTTTTAAGATATCAAGGGAAGGATTGACGACCACGTGATGTTTCTGTCTACTTTGCCTGGCGCAATAATGTGATTTGTTATCGTTCCTCGAAAAGAATAGGTAGTTCCGCTCCGGCTGTCAGCTGTGTTCTAACTGAAGGAGTTATGTCAAACTTATCACTCAATTTCAAGTTAAAGTTTTGGCAGACCTGAAAGAACAAATAATAACACCGTATTAAAGAAGGGTTTCATGTATTGAAGTAGAACTTAGCGGATTGAATTATCCGTTATCCGGTTTATTTGGTTTACTCTATTTGATGTTTTGTTCGACTTCTCTTGAAATTGACAGATTACCCGTTATGTAAAGCTTTTCAATCAAATTAAATAAAAACTTTTGTTGTGACATAAGCCCACACTCTACTACCGACACAAAAGAGGTTTTAATTTGCTTAGCCTGTATTTTCGATAACATTTTTTAAGCGTCACAGTCATTTGTGGGGGATTTGAAGATACACGTTAAAAGATTACTAACCCGGATTGTAGCAAGGTAGATCTCTGTCTCAGCTATTCTTCTGCCTGTGAACAAAAAGTATGGTGAATTAAATACAAATGTACAAACTTTTAGCTGCTAATAATTTTTTTTTCGAATTTCTGTCAGATAATATATTTTCATGGGTAATTAGTATTAGTTCTTTTGAGGTTTTTAGGTTTTTACAGTTTGGTACAAATGATAGTAATTTTCGATTTGAATGTATAGTTTGGGGGTGTTCAAATCAGATTATTTGTAATTCTAGGACAAATCTGGTAAGCTATCGGTTTAACTTTCGTGTAAATTCTTCATCGGTTTCAAGAACTTTAACGAATGCTCGGGAAAAACACCTTACTCTAAGAAGGTCAGTACTTTTCGATAATAAGCGGAGTTTTTTGAACAAGATATTATAACAATTAAATAAAATTTATTATTTTGGTGGGGATGATACCTTTTCTTTAATAAGTATCAATATTACCACTTATCATAATAGTTACTTACCGACACAGCTTCTGGCACCATAACCAAACGGTAAAATTGAAAATGGATGCCATTCCTTAGCTTCAGCTTTGAGCCATCGTTCTGGTACAAACTGATCTGGATTTGAAAAGATCGAAGGATCTCTTGACATGGTGTAGTTGTTCAGTAAAACACACGTCTGAAAGGAAATAAATACAAATATAAAATACATTTTAAAAATAATTGCAAAATGAACTTAAACTGACACGAGAATTTTCAAACAGAAAATAGATATAATTAATTTTCAAAATTACCCAAGACAGACCTAATTATGAAATTGTAGATCTCCCCTACAGAGATGTAAGCATTGTTTACGAACGCCTGGTGAAATTTCGAAAACCACTGTAGACCCACCGCGCATACAGATCTTAAAGTGCCTATATCCCAATGTTTTGGCAGATCTGTCTGGAATTTTGAATACAATGTAATTTGAACACCACCGATACAAATGTACCATCAATTAACGGCCAATTGAAAATTATGTTTTTAAAAAGAAGCGTTGTCAGAAACATAATTTTAAAAAATAACTAAACTATAGTAAACTGTAAATTATGAGGTACATTTGATGATATTGAACTTACCCCTTTATGTATAAGAGTATTATCAACAATTGTATCTTCTTGAAGAATCCGAGCATTGATTGGGATCGGTGGATATAATCTATAAATAAAAGTTACCGGGTAATGAGAAATATATAAAATGTAAGATTTGACAGTACAAAATGGCGAGGGGAAATTAAATGACAGCGATAAAGAAGGCGTATTAGTCATTTTAAGAATGCATATCTCCATTTCTTACACTCTATATAAATAAACAGTACGGTAGGCATCAGTATGGGTAAGCTATATTCAAGGTAACAAATCTTGAAGGAGAAAGTCATAGAGACATTGTTGATAATACTTAGGACTTGATGAGCGAGTACACAAATATCTCCGCAACAGTAGGTCTTCTAGTACATTTTTGAAATGATAATTATAATTTCACACGGCAGCATCGGAAAACCGACTATTAAAAGATGGCAATTATGAGGATTATATGTTTTATTTTATATTTCGTTTCGAATAGTAATTACCTGAGTGTTTCTTTAACGACGGCTTTGAGGTAAGGCATACGTTGAAGATCGTCATAAGTACATGTTTTACCATCTAACACACTATCAACTTCTTCTCTTAATGTGTCCTGGGCGTCAGTATTTTTGGCCAGGGAGTACAGCAAAAATGACATTGAGTTTGCGGCCTGCAAGATAAAGAGATCCAATAATGACTGGGTACTGTTCAAAATAATATGACGTTTTTCTACCTGGTTTCTAATCAAATGATAATCTAAACAATCATGCACTTACTTTTTTTTTTGTAGCAGATTTCATATCAATTTATAATCTTGCGGACTTCAATATAAGTTAATATATGTAGGAATGTAAGGATGGTGAGGCAAGTACAAAATCGTAAATAAGTTGTACTGTCAACTTTGTGGCTTTCGTGAACTTTTAAAAAATCAAAGCTGTACTACTCAAGGTTTCGTTCGATTTCTTATACGCATAAGAGAAATGTGAAATATTCATTTAATGGCTAACCTTGGTTCAAAAACGGATTTACATGCGGTTAAAGCGACCACATTTATCATAAAACAATAGCCGCCCCAGGCAACATATTAACATGAAATATTGTATTATATCGCAACATTTTAAACCCAAGAATTGGGGACAATACGAACAAATCTTTTGATGTTTATATGATTATAAAAAGAAAACACAAATAGTTTTCAACTGAACTCTTTTGGTTTAGGCCATATTGCCTAGAATTGTAAATTTTATTTTTTAAAATTTAATCAAAATTTAAGTATTATTTTAATGCGCATCTCCGCGTTTGATAAACAATCGTAAATAAATTGTAATAATTTATTGATAAAAAAATGAATTACGGCTTCTGTTTTGTGGATTTTGCGAAGCAGATGACCCAAACAGCAAAAGTCAAACTTACTTTCCGTCATATAAACATGTTTATCAAATTTATGTGGGTGTCTTTACTCACAGAAGGTGGCTGTGATAGAAAAAGAAGTCAGAATCAAAACTGTTTTAATCTATAAGTTGGATAGATATATAGACCTGTTTTACTTTATCACAAACAAAGCGTGTTTATTCTCGCCTTGTTTTGCCTAACAGACCATAAACTATATACATATGGTTTTATTGATGGTATAAATATAATCGCTAAACCAGATATACGATATATTATTAGTGCATGCGTAGTTGTAATCATGCAGAAGTCGCTTTGCCGTCTGCTATTTTCTTTTAGGTTTTTCTTAATTCTACATTAGATAACCACACACGAATTGTTGTATATATAAAGGAGCATTTTGAATGAAATCTTTGTGTTGCATTTACATAAAACACAGGTATTTTCAGCTGCAATCTTTTTTTACGATAATGTAGGAAACAAATCCCCGAAAATAAACTGTATGAATGACAACTGTGATGTACTTACCGTATCTACACCACCAAGTAACACTTCTGTAATATTTTCGTAAATTTCTTGTCTTGACATTTGTCCATTGCCAACAAGGTACGTTAAAAAGTCGACTCGATCACCTTCTTGCACATCCCCTGATAATCTTTCAGCTACATCTTCCATTTTAGCCTCGATATATTCTTGTGCTGGAAGCGGAAATTACCGAGATGAGCATAGTCTAATAATATTGAGCTAATTCTAATAATATTGAGCTAATTCTAATGGATGACTACACTACAATTATTGGACCTTAGGCTTTAGTACTGATTAAGGGTAGTCCCGAAATGACCTAGTTTGTGTCGAGTGGACATTAAACCCCATTTCTCTCTCTCTCTCTCTCTCTCTCTGATTAAGGGTCTTACCTATTTCGTAGATAGTATCCCAGGCTTTAACATGCATTCTCCAGGTCTTTAATCGGAGGTTTTTGTAAACTTTTGTGAAAGCCATCATCTGATGTCCCGTTAAAAACATGGTTGCGATTGATGTAATAAAATTCTGGATTTTAGGATCCACGTTCTTCTCTAGACATCCCAATCTGGTATCTAGCAATACGTAACCAAGAGCTGAAATTTCAAACATATTAAGGTAAATCTCTTAAGTTTATAGCGTGAGTGCGGTTCTTTTGAATAATGGCCGGCATGACAAATCACGTAATAAGCGCTTACATGAAGCTAGGGGTTAATGGAAATCTCATAGCGTGCCTTGACGGTGACCTATCCTGTCCAAACAAATATTGACCAACAGCTTGTGGTCTCAAAGGGGGACTTTTGACGAGCTTATTGTAATTAAAGAAAATATAGAGTCCGAAATTCTTCGTATAGCCGACAAATTGATATTGCAGAACATTTGTATATAACGCTAGCCACAGTGATAAACAAGCGGACATATTTGTTTTACTTAAGATGGTTCTTTCTGTGATCTTGCAGAGTGGCTTCGTTATTTTTGTCAAGGTTTACATGTGAATGTTGTCAAGTGTCGAACCACGTGTCAAAGTTTACTCAGCGTCCGCTTACCTTCCATAGTAAATTTGTTCAGTTCGTTCGGTAAATGAGGTACAAATTCGCCCTCGCCTTCTCTATCTTTCAAGAACCTGAGTCGATCTACAAAATCTGTCACCACGCTGTTGATACCGTCCACAAAATCTCCGACAGCTTTGGGACGCAGAAGTTTTGGGTTCATGGCACTTCGATTGCCTCTCCATTGCTCGCCATTACTATATATAATAAACGAAAATAATACTTAAAGTCAGTTATATGGCATTTTATTATCGTGAAATTGATTGGTAAAATCAACAAATAACATATCAGGTCACCATGAATGACGAAATCCATGTCTATATTTATATTTTCTTTTTTAAAAAAATAGACAAAACATGTCACCTGGTCAGTGTTGCATATTCATAACAATACATAAAATTGTATAATAGATTTGGGTTATTTTGACAAGGAGAAATCTACAATGCACTTAATGATGGAGTACACGCGGCATGTCAGACAGCGTGTTGTATATTTTATATTATTTATGACCATTTGACACGTTAGACTGATTATAATGTTCGTAAGAGTTGCCACGTTCGATTATTGTCGGGTTTACGGTAATTACGAATTCGAGACTTGTAAATAGAACCCGAATCGCATAACAAGTATTTTCTAGTTGCAAACTCAAAAGTTATTTTTACACTTGACTTGGCAAGAAACTATGACTTGTAGCATGATTTGACCATTATTGTCACGTCCAAAACGCGTTATTACCGTAAACACAACATGAATCGAACGCAGTATTAGTAGTACAATTCAAGATTGATACTGGATCCTCCGGAATTATAATAATATACAACATTTCCATTGGAAGACCATAAATCAAGTTCAGAAAGAGCGATATCGTGGACTTTTTCTCCTTTCAGGCAATTAAAATACTATACTCATCATATCCTCTAGCAACTAGGATTGTCACAACTAAATGTTTTTTTAAAACTATACTTACGCTGTCATTATGCCGCCTCTTCGTTTACGGAGTTCATTATAAAGTACCCACGCTTCGTATGGGGGTCTGTGGGGATATTTTCCCTCTGCTCGGAGAATTTCCTCCACTAGAGATGGGTCTCCTACAGATACGTTATCGAAACTACCGAACTTTTCTTTGAATATTTTGCCATACTGTCTATGAAATTTTCTCTGTAAAAAAATAAAAAAGTAATTTGGTTAGATTTACTGATGCTTCACAGATAAAACATGCAGGTGTATTAAACTTTATCTAGTATAATTATACACCAAAACTAATTTTTAAGCACATTGTTCTCCTAGGTGTCAGGGGGGTCTACAGAGTATCATATTTTATAAAAATGTGTAGCTGAAGGTTTTATCTCTCTTGCCCCAAACCCTTCATTTAATGCTGCTTTTAAGGCGTAAAATAAGATTGTTAAATGTTTGGTCTTATAAGTAACCTATTATTTTCTGGAAAATTTATGAATTAAAGTAGATATGTTTTTTTCCGGAAGGTATACAATACCATCTCATTTAATTTTTATTGGTTGGTTTGTTAGACGTGGTTTGGAATTAATAAGAAGATATCGCTACATTCCACAGAGCCCTTAAGACTTTTAGTAAATACCTTAGTTAATGCCTAACAATAGGCTATCGTATACTCTCATTAAATAGCATAGCATAGATAGTCACTGGGAATCAGTTTCAAAGTAATATTAGCCCTCATACAAGATATTTTTTCTCTTTTTTATTTGCTCTTAACGACTATCATTAATACGGAAAAATGTCGGTTTTTATGACTATTCATAACTTTTCAATTAGTATTTAGAACAGGAACTTGTCAGATGGAATCTAATGTTTCAATTTTATGAGTGGTTTGAGACAAGGCAGTGATTTTACTCAAGTCTCGTTCATTATTCTAGGCAATTAACTCCAGTTTCAGTCCCAGATGATTCAAATAACATTGGTAAAGGTTTGTTTTCATTTCCGCGCGGCTTATGACAGTACCAATAATTCATTTAGCTTCTTACAAGAGCAACATAAACACATAGACCACGTTTGGACCATCAGAAAGCAGTATTCCCAGACATGAATGGAATATTTTATTGTGTCTACAATCGCTAATGGGCATTTCTGTCGTAGAAGCAAACAAGTGAGAAATTGGCATTCCGGCGTTCCACAGACGTCCATGAGTGTCAGTCAAAGAGAATAGAAGCTCATCTGTGAGTAGAAGCAACCGTCTACTTCGGCGATCAGTATTTTACAAAACTAACATGCCATCACCACATCTCATTAGCTACACTGTGTAAATTAACCACTAAAAGCATCCTTTCATCGAGTAAGATAAATTAACAAAACTGATGGCTTGACGAAAACCATCATAAACTCAACAAATAAACATCGGTGAAATTGGGAAAAGCAGCCCACCTTCTTTCTGCATATTTGTATTGGTAAAATTGGCCAATACAAGTTAAAGTAGCTAGGTCTCTAACTCAATATCATCAAACATCTTTGACATTGAAAACACGAATTATTTGTCAATTCAAATCAACATTAGTCTTGGGATCTTACAGGGAAAAGATGGGCTTCTGATATCCAATTTTCAAGACAAAATAAACATTTTACCATTGGTACACGAATCGTGTACCATAATGCGTTTCAGTGCCATTTGTAACAAGGGGCTCAAAGAACGAGGCTAGGCATATTCCACAAGTCATATCAAATGGTGACGTAATATTCTTATCTGGAGAGCATGCGCAATAAATACCATCGGTGTAAACTGGAATAACCAGACGCTAAATATTGTCATTCAAGTGAGACTTCTGGCGTATTTCGCCAAACATAACTGATTTGAAATTACAGTAAAAACAGAAACGATTGAATGTAAATCGGTTTATATATACTGTTTGAATGGCATTTAGTAATTGAACACATTAAAATAAACACAACAGTTCTATGGATAACAATTACTATATATATATTTATATATATTGCATTATTATATGCGTTGCGACCCATTGGCATTTGTGTTAATTTCTAGGTCCCAAATATTAGCGATTAGCTCCTTTAATGTATGAGTAATTATACAACATGGAACGGCCCATTTACAAAGTTTTAAACACAAACAATCCTCACAATCTCATTTTCATATAGAAATTGTTGTGGCACATAGAAATATTGAAAAGTCTCTTTCCTTTCACATGGCGAGAACAATAGGGCATTTGCCCACCCTTATCGCGTTAAAATTGAGTTGAGGGGTCTTGAAATGCAAAAGAAATGGTCCGCGACATTTGATATGAATCGTGCGCTGGAGAAGAATAGGTGAACGTTTGAAAGTGCAGGTTGGTAGGTTAGCACGGGTCAAACTGAACGAATACTAAACAAACACGGTTTATGATAGGCCAATGCACACAAAATAGATTCAAAGTTAACGATAGTGAATAGAAAAGCGGTTGACCCAGATTACTTCTATTGTACCGAAGCAGTACAGAAAACAAGGCTACTAAGTGAAATATGAAGTTTCTAAAGCCATTTTATGCGTGAAAGATTGTTAGAAGATGCATATCGTTGTTATAAAAAAAACTTCTATCTGTAACAATCTTGATAAGTATGTGTCGGATACATAGTACAGATGACAACGTGATCCGTGATCTTGTGTATTGGCGTTAAAAACAACGAGCAGAACAACGGAAATCAACGAAACATTCTCTTCAGATATAAAAGACTGTAACATCTTGTTCTGTTAGACAATATTCTATTTTTTCTAGTCTGCACTAGCCGAACGCTAATATAACATCTCGAAAGAATGTCGGTCGACGATCGCCTAGTGCATTTCTATTTGCTGATGATATTTAGAAGATGGTTAAGGCTGTTTAGGAATCAATACGACTGGCTGCTAAGACAAAAGGTGTCAGCTTTTGTGACCAAAAATACAATCGTAGAAAATGTGCTATCCGTAATAATTGGGTATTGCTTCTTAATTAGGGTAAAATTGACCCCGTGTCCCCCGCGTCAACTTAGCAAATAACCCTGTCTGTCTTTGTAGTATTGAGGGGCTAATAATAAGGCGATTTCAATTTGTTTTTAACAAGACTTATAAACTGAATGGTAAATGTTTGACCAACAACTTCTCCCCGGTTGGCGACGACGCTAATTACTGACACGTGAACTCTAGGTCGGATATATTGACAATCGTACTGGCTGCCATTTTAGTGCGTTTTTGGTCAAGTTAATTGTTATATCGGATAATCATAATATCCTTATTATGAGCGAATATGAAACATTGAACTAGAAATTAGTGTGGGTGTGGGGTGGGGGGGGGGCAAACGAGCGTATTTTTTTCGCTCGATCTTTTCGATTTTAAAAATCACTCGAAAAAATCGCCCGTTTGTCCCTTCACGGCGTCGACGGTTCTGCTCGGCGAACCATTAGCCCGATCAATCACTCGTATTTAGCCCGTTAGATATTTTTCGCTGGCGATCAAATCCGCTCGTGTGCCCGTGTCCAACGTATAGTGTCGGGCGAACCATTTTTATAAGCCATTCGGAGACATGATTGATATCACATGATCTGAAAATATCTGTCTCCACTGCCGAAGCGTGGAATCTAACTCTTGTGCCACAATTTTCGATTTGTCCAACGACCCCTTCTAGGTTTTTTGCGTTTTATTTTTAGCAAATAATTAGCAAGCTAACAATTTCGGCGATTCGTCATTTAGAACAAGTCACATGATCGACGTAATTTACCCGCAGAACGGCATACATGCACTTTCGGTCGTAAAAAAATCGCTGACGAATTTTAATCGGCGCGATCGGGCGAAAAAAAAAATACGCTAGTCTGCCCCTAGCATAAGTTGATCATCGTTACTCACATTATTCAGAAGTACGGGATTTGTATTTGTCGCCAAGCTAATAAATTAAAGCTACTCGGCAAGTCTCTCGGATCAGTCGTGTTTGGAATTTCGTTTACAAATGCCAAATTGAACCCCAAAGCTGAGAGGATTGAGTCAACAGTGGAATGACGAACAGCCGCGTAAATTCGTGTTTTGTGTTCAGTGGTCATATTTGTCTTAGGGATGAATCCAACAGAGAAAAGGTATAGACAACGCTGAAAAAATCTTTTACTTGAGGCACGGTATAAGAATGGCCTTGATGACCTCTGCTCTTAGCTGGTACACGTTAGTGCTTGTAGTTTTAAACTAAACGAAAAAAGTAATGAAAAGAAAGAAGGAGGAAATAAAAAGTGCTTCTTTAAAGAAAAGATTAGGAAGCCATGCCACGTGTCTAAAATAGAAATTGTAACGAAATTAGCAAGCGATTAAAAACATCATCAAATGTAATTCGATGTGCACTATATACGCTAACCTACATACAACGATCGCGTATTTTCCTTTTATAGCATTTTACATGCTGACTGTTCAAGGTAATACAAGAACTTAAAGTCATATTAAATGTTAAATGTCAAATCTACTCGGTTATTGTATATTAGTATGTCTATTCTGTAGCTATTGAATGCTTCCATACAGACTTAAAGGCCCATTATGAAGATTTGACATAATGGGAACACGATGACATAATAAGAAAGGATTTCGCTTCTAATGGAATTATTGTGAATGATAATGCGCAAATTTTAAATTACCCTTGAATTTTGATAGTATATGTCGTCTTTGGCCGTAGTTGTAACTTCTGGTGAAGGATACGCATAAATAATTGACTGAATTGTTGGATCTATTTTCACATCTGATTTCGCCATATGTTGACAACTGACCCAGGCCCTCCGTACGTTAGACATTAGGAGGTTCTGGATGACCGAGACTATTTTAACGCATGATAATGCTTATTGCATAAAGTACTTATTACATACAGCAAGTTTAGCCGTAGTCGCCGTCAATTGAACTGGAAGCTGATGGAGAATAGTTTGTTTATAATAGATGGAGTACTGTACAAATAAAATATTTATATAATATCTTGCATAACAAACGACACACTTAATGTGTTCCCATTGAGGTTGTTGAAAGTAGTACGAGTCGGGAACATCTAGGAAATCAGAACACGAGTAGTTCTATTTAACTCAAGCCTTGGCAGTTTCGTACCCTTTTACAAGTGTGTTGAAGGCAATACAAACCGTGCTCGACAATATTGCTGAACAACATGTTGTTCCCTGGGAAGCTTACCAACACTTCGGGGTTGTTCGGTATATATTTTGTAGAAATTACAAAGAATAATGACAGGTTCTACAGAGTGTAATCAAACAATGAGACGTTTCAAAGCTTAATCTTGAACTACAAGTTTATTAAATTTGTTAACATAATGCCACTTACATACAACTGTGGTTTCGAAATGAATAAGTAATCTCTAGTTTAATGTTTTATGATGAATTACACTGAATGTTTTATCTCATTCAAATAACATCTAATAGGTTATCAACTGAAAACATGTATGTAAACATACAAATCTTGTAGAAAAAGACCTTTGTGATAAAAAACATGCTCGGTTTCAATTGTTTCGAGTCATGATTTGGAAATAAAGTACATTTTCGTAGAAAGTTTTGATATCACCAAACTACCAGGGAAAATAACCAAATGTCGGCCTCGTCACGAACTCGTGGTTGTGCCTGCCATCTTGAAGCATCTCTAGTGACCAAAAGGCAAAAGCTTACGATTGGGAGTCTAGAAATCTTGCTGGAAGCAACACCAACCTCTTAACAATATCAAATAAAATCTACGAAACAGATGGCTAAGTGGTTGAAGATAACAACGGTTATCCCTCTCTTCAACACAACTACCATTTTCTTGCCCCAAGCTCAAAAACATCTGCCGCCTTATCAAGCTGTTTAACAACGCAAAAATATTCATTCTTTTCACTTTCGTTAATTAAATACGTATATTTCAAATGACCGAATTCCTGGGTGGTTATTTACATTAATATTTTTATTGTACCATTTGCTTAAATCCCCTATATTCGGTTAATGTAGCAGTGAAGATTGAAATCATGTAAACGTACGCATTTATACATGTTATTAATCTTTCTCTACAAGATATGCCTAAAGTTGAAAGTTTATCATTAATCTATGTAATTTATTATCTATCTAGTTAGAATTCGTGTTTCATCCAAGCAACTCTAATTGGATCTTGATTATAGCATTAGCTTCTCTTTAAACCCCGTGAAAACCTGTTGCGTAATGGTAAACCACAAATATGCTGCGGTCAGATAAACGGTAAGGGGTTAAATAAGGAGAAGATTGGAACACGTGCATAAAACATAATTATACTGGTAATAAATTATTTCCTGAAACAACCAATGAATGGATATTTCCACCCTAAGGGAAAAGATGTGGGTCTAGAATAATGACAGAATGAACTTCGTCTAATAAATATATCTCATTCATACGTATAAACTAACATTCGAATTAACGAAAAGCTCAAAATACTCGATTTGTGAACAAAGGTCCGTTTGTTAATCGCGATTTTAGTTCTTTATATACATCAAAGCAAATCCAGTTCTAAATTAAACGTCGAAAATGGTTCAAATTTTTCTTATTGATCTAAAATATACCACAAAATAATATAGTTTTGTCTTTGGCGAACTTCCAATTTTAGAAATGCATTGTCTAAAATATTAATCGTTCCAGCGATCAAAGTAACTGATATAAGTGGTTAGAAGTATCCCTGCTGGTTGTCACTAGAGAAAACAAGGGATGTTGGCCGTTGGGGAAAATTTCATTAAATGGCAAATGCAATCAGATATAATACTGCTGTAAGGTCGGTCGGTGGTAATGAATCGGGCGTCGGTCTACACATTTCTTCAATGACCCCCATTGTGAAGTTCTATACAACTTGAAAACTCCAGTCGACCGACAAACTGTTGGGTATTCTACACTAGACAATAACACACAAGGTATATTCTTAACACTTTGTCCAAGTTATGTCCGATATTTGGTCGGAAGCCAAAGTAGATGTTTTGTCAGTGTAATAGGCTACAAAAAGGTTGAAATTATTGAGCGACGGAATATATTGTGGAAATAAAACCATTTTGTAAATATGTTTACTTGGGTTAAAAAGGTGAATAGGTTCATGAAAAAGACTCAGTTCTGATTTACTTTACTAAGGTACACGTAACTCCTCCGTTTGTAAGACAAAGAACGCAGAAAGATGTTTCGGATGTGCGTGTGAATCTGTCCAACAAAAGACGTAATCTTTTCAATAAAACTGGTTCGTGCTTAATTTCATTTTATCAAAAACTCTGTCAATGAAATGAGAGATTGGGAAATGAACTAGTTGGGGCATTCTTCAATGAAAAAACGTGAAGAGCATGCGAATTTCCTCTTATCAAGAACACTTATCCTTATTTCATTTCTTAAGTTACACACATGGAGGATCTTTGTCGAATCTTTATTTGGTTTCAGCGTTATTCCTCTACTCTGACAGCTCTTATCTGAAACACTTGGTAATGGAATGAATCGAGCACATGACTGGTGTTACAAACACTGGCGCTGATAGAAACGACGTTCTCGTATGCTGAAGTTCAGCTGTTGCATTGAGATCAACAACACGATGGAGAAAAAAGGACAAAATAAAACTGCATTATTTGTAGAATTCGTCTGCTGTTATGCTCGAATGCCGATGAAGACAATCGAAACTCCTATACAACACCTGTCAGAAAACATATTTACGTTTGTCAGTGTAGCTTTTTTTATATATATATTTAAGAACAAATTTTGTTATCGCGTAGCTGTTAATATAAGAAGGGTACACGATTGATAAGAATTGTCTTTCACCACAGCCTTGTAATAATGTACACAATACTAACGTTTATGTAAAAGAATGTGAAAAAGTCAAGTTGACAGAATAATAGTTACCAATTACTTTTTTCAGGAAGCTTCAAGATACCGACTTTTTAAACATTAAGCTGGTAATCACTACGTGTGAATGATAAAGCATTTGTATAAAGATAGCCCCTTCAAAGTGTGATATAGTTATGTGTTGCATACACTTCTCGGGTGTTAAAAATGAAGTATCGTTTATGTCTTTTTATATGTTTCAGGTCTACGTACATTGAAGCGTGAAATCATTCATTTTGGTTTATTCATCCTGTAGATTAATGGATAAGTTACATTATGAATAGGTTGCATTATGTATTTTACTGACAGTTGTATTGAACACAGATCAATGAAAATGCGGACCAATATTTGTCTTGAACCAATCAATAACTTTACTCGGTAACTCATTAACAAGTAATCACACTATTAACTAACCTTTTGCTATTTACCCTCTTATTATCAGTTATCGTCGATATTATATTGATGTAAATTTTATCTTAAGGCGTTATTGACAGAAATAGTGGTTATCGTCGTTTTTCTGCTACAAATAATAAGTCTTTAATTGCAATAGAACAAGGGTTAAGGTCTCGCCAATACTAAAATTCGGTCAGTTTGAGTCTATTGCCATTTAATGTCAGCGTATGGAGTAAATAAATTCCTTACAGTATAGACGGATTTTCTCAATAATCTAATATAACACTGACTAAATGTGTATCGATTTTTTACGGGTTGAACTTTTCATTAAGTAATATATTTTCCAGTCGAGTTAGATAATACACTGACCGCTAGTTGCGTTTACTTGTGTTTATCAGTTGTTCTGTAGCCTGTCATAATATGCTTATCGTGAGACAATCTGAAGTTCTTTTGTTCAGTATCATTAACGAATGTACTATTACAGTTAATTATCATCAACCATATTTAGTATAAATTGTCTTAGGTTTTTGGATATAAATCAGACGAGCTTTGGTTGCTCACCAGAGAAGGGTTTCTCTTATATTTAGTATTTTGATACTATTGGATATGTTATAATAAAATGTTGAATTCAGATCATCTTTTATTTCTGTTAACCCAAACTATGTTATAATTGATTTTTCTATACTTTCTGTATTGACCCGAGGCATCCATGTATACATGTATTGCCATGTTTCAGTATTTCATAAAAGACGTAATATTACAATACATTTATATAGATCAATTCATTGTTGTGGGTATAATCGCGCTCTTAGATTATCGTACTATCAGGTTCACTGTTACCCGTTTTCATTCATTTCTATAAAGGGCGCTATAATAGTTAGCTGTTATAAAAGTCTCGAGGCGTTGAGTATACTATATCTACAGTGGCGCAAGACAACCTTCTGTGTACACCTGTTAACTGGAAGGGCATGCCTTATTGACATTATTTCCTTGCCATGTGTTCCTAATGTAAAACACATGCCATCATCTCAAATAATTTTAATGAAAGCAAGAAACGGAATCTTTTCTTACCTGAACTTCGTGCATTTGCCCTTTGTTGGCTTTGCGAAAATATTCCGTCACAGTTCCCACAATAGGTAGGCCTCGTGGTCCTGGAAGTTCACTAAAACTTTTAACTGAGGTAGTTGTTTTAACATCGGACAGAGCTTCGGGATCGCTGGCTTCTGTAAAGAGACATCGAACTCCCCCGTTTCTGCAAACTGCCCTTCCATGTGTTACAAAACGCCGTAAAGCCGATTCTGCCATGCTTGTAGTTTTCTGAAATCCAATGAATTTTAAGAATAAAGGGGTTGATCAATTATTAGTCCTATAATTGCCTGATCAAAATACGCATAACACACAACACCCTATGCACTGGTATAGTATATGAAAGTTAAAAAGCATGCGACAATGCATCAACCACGGCTTCCTATAACGGTCTGACGCTTCTAGAGCAAGATTCTTGTTTAAATAGGGTCAGATCGGTACAGGTGTATAATTATAAATAATAATACGCGAAAAGTTACCAGTTACAACACGAGAAAATGTAATACAACGCATCCTAGCTTAAGAATGAACGAAGCGAACTGTACCGATCAAGATTCTCCGAGAGATTCATAAAGCAGCAATCGTGTAACCTCGTGGGGGCTTTTTTTCTAATGCACTAGCCCATGGCCAAAGAAATTGGTGGCATTCAACAAGAGATACGGATCGTCCGCCTTTTCACAGCTTTCAACCAATCATAGCGCGAAGGTACGTCTTCTCAACTTAGGTTTTTTATATGGCCTAGTTTTCGCCAAATACCAAGGTTGGGCGAGTTTACCTATGTATTCCCCCATGCTGGTTGATGTTCCGCCTTTTTTCTTATATTGTACAACGCGCGACTATGCACCGGTAGATTTCAACCATGTTCTTACAGGTGCAACACGATGATACATCAATACACTTACTCTATCATAAAGATTAACTCGGTGCATACAATATACATATTTCTTTGTTGACAAAGTTTCAATTTCTTTACAGATCTTTTTCCCCTTCAAACCACAAAAATTTTAATACCCCATGAATCCCTCTTTGATCCATATTTGCATACTGAGCCGAAGTGATTATTTACTTTAATTTTTAAAAAAAAAAAACATTTTTGTAATAACGTGATAAATACATAATCTTTGTCCTGTAGTAACTCAATTATCGTATGAATTACGCAGCCGGATAGCTGCATATAAAACAGATTTGGAGTACGACCATTTAGAAATTAAATTGCGGATATCAACAATAACCAAGATATTCAATTACACTACTGAATACGTTCTTCAAGTTATAATTGTATTGGGACAATACTTGAATTGTGCAACTTGATATCTCAAGCGTTCCGTAATTTAACTATCGTCCTAGCGTTATCGGGCCAAGAAAAAAATCCTCGCCGTTAATTGACCGACAATTCTCAATTACTCTCTAACAATTGACATACGTCGTTTCATTTTCTCTCCACGTTCATAAAAATATTAACACAAATAATTACATGGAGTGGTTATTTATTATTTGTTTTTGCCGATAATATATACTGATCAATGTAATTGATTAAGTAGGGTATAACGTGAACCGCGCGCAATAAAACATAGAATGTGTTTCAGCGTTAAAATTTTAAATCAGTAAACGGAAAACGGTACTTTTAACCTAAGTGACAAATACTAAATATATTAATACTCTACTTAGAAATCTCTCAACCAGAAAATAATAAGGTTATTTTTTCTATTCAAAACAAAAGTTATAAAAGTTAATATAATCCACACCTTAACAGTAAGTCCAATATTTAGAGTAGAATTTTATACAGTTCTTCACTTTGAGACACTTTCTAACTGTTACACTGATTATTCTTGACTTAAAATAAGATTGCACACTGTGTAGAGGAGAGCAGCCTGTACAACCACTTCCTCCGCTGCTCCAATACGATTTGACAGCTTAAGGCTTTCACGGCCGTTTATGTTTCGTCAATAGTATTGTCACGTAGGTTATGATACAGACTCTGTTTTCTAGTATAGCGCTTTACTGGGGTCAATCGGTGCGAGAGCAGTCACGTGATGTTATCATGACACGTGTGCGTTGGTTTACTACGACAGTAGGCAGGTATGTAACGGTAGAGCCACGCCCCTTTTCCGCCTAATGAATTAAAGTATATCTAGAAATTCGCAATTAGCAAGTCATCGAAAACGTGTATTGGACTTGTAATTTGTTCTTCTGTGCATATATTTATATTACACCCCTCCCCTTTTCATATTATTCTAATCGATCTTTGAATTAAAATACCAAATGTTTATACACACTGACGAGATATCTGCAAAACTTTCAATAAAAATTTCCGTGTTACACACCAGCGTAACGCGATTTTTTTTATAGGTGGCGGTATCTTTCCTTTCCTCGTGTCATTCGGTTCAATCAACAAGAATTTACTAAGAGATGTAACGACAGAGATTTATTTTCTTGTTGCAAGGTACACATGGCTTTTTTTGCATTATGTTTTCCTATTTTCAAGAACCTTTTACAATATACAGACGGTTTGGACCCAGTGTACTTATTGATCGTTGTTGGTACAATGACCGAAAAAGAGAAAGCGGCGAGGAATGCGGACGAGCGGCAAATAGAAAGGCTATAATACTCGACAACTCTATACTTTTTAGCAAGATACCAGCATAATACGGAAGTGTACCACCTTGCTGCCAGTCGGCGTGTGCACTTAACTCACTTAGCTTGCAACAAACGGGTAATGATAGATATTACGAAGCGGGTTAGGTGAGCTTCAAGGGGACATGATAGTTTCATCCCACGAATTCAACAGTTACATGGAACAAATTAAGCACATCGGGAAATAATAGATAGTTCTACAACAAGTGGAATGTAGTAATTATTTGATCATTTTTGCACCTCGTGCTACAGGTAAAATATTTGCACCTAGCAGCACGAGCTCTGGGCGGATTTCCACACATGTACACGAGTTCTATATTTAAGACTAATTTACACCCGGTAAGTAATAACGGAAAAAATAAGACGTCAAAACACTGACATGATGCCTGCTGAATAGACTTAATTATTCGAGCTCTCTTTTTTTCTTGTTTTTTTTTTATCGTGGAAACTAATTAAAATGATTTATAAAGACAGTAGCAATAGGAAACGCGTACATTTACATTTTCCATGATGTATAGACTTCATGTATGATAAGTTTCAAAACGTTAAGTTATTACCAATTTACACGTAACGTTGTAGTGCAGATGCATTACTGGTGCTCAGACCGACAATGTACGTGTAATGTTAATGTTCTGGTCGAAACAATTAAATTTATTAATTAATTATGTCGATGTTTTCGTGAAGCAATAAATCAAATCGCCTTGTATACTATTATATCTTTTAAAATTATGAGAATTCTTCTTAAAAAAAAAAAAAAAAATAGAACACATGCATATAGGAATAGAACAGGGTGAACCATCTTCACCATGAATATTCATCAAACACATTACAAAGTTTGGGATGTGGAGATGAAATACGTGAATCGAGAATACCATCGGTATAAGGATAAACGTTAGCTAGTGTATGGTATGGTATTGTTATTTTTTGTCTGGTACCTTTACAAGAAAAGTTCCAGAGGCTTTAAATCTGGTCCACCTGATCAAACAGATTTCACTTTATCACGACTTGATTACAACTGATAAGGGCGGGTTGATTTATTTCTTCCGGGCATTTATTGTTTATTTAAACCTTTATATCCATTGTCCTTAGAATATAGTAATAATCTCTGCATCTCTTTATTCTGTGTACTCAGACGTGCAGATTGCGCATTCAAAGATTTAGCATGGGTGTATTTATAACGCGTGATACAGACGGGTCCGTCTGGTTCTTTCTTTTTGCAAACACATAGTGCATTGATTTATAGATAAGAAAACAAAGACGCTTAGATTATTTTTAATCAGTTTGATGATGATAATGCCATTTTTACATCTTGAATTATCACATACTATTCGTTATAATTAGTAATGTATGATGTATGCTTTTGCTTTGTCAAGAAAATGACATCAGCAGTTTACATAACGAATTTGTGTCAAATCTAACGGAAATTATACTTAGTGGCTATCACGAAATTAATCATTTCTCCGCAATATTATAGTCAAACAGCTTTATCTTCCCATGAACAGTGTGCAACAGGCGTCAATAATAACCTTTCCCACCCCTGTAAAGGAATAGTTATGTCAGTTGCGTAATATATTTCAATTTTTTATTGTTCAAGTTAATCCCCACTAAAATATCGGTGACCGACGAGCAGTAAACAAGGCACTCATATATACGTTATGAATGAATTTGATTTACATTAATAAATAGCGCTCGCTTCGTAAACAAGAAATTATTGACAAGGGGTCATTTGGGATGACTATGTAGCCTTTTCAAAATAGTAAGGAAATGTATTAAAGTTCCCGTTTTTAACGCACACCCTAAATAAGTGGGTATGACGAAATGATGTTCTATTCCATTTGACCGCTTTTTTTCTTTTGTTTACGGAGAATGTGACCACGTGCACATTCCACGCTAATATTTGATCAATGGGAAACGCGAAGAGGGTAGGAGTTATCGAACTTGAAATGTGTTGAAATCCAGTATGTTTCGTATTTGTATCGTGTGTATAAAGTTCGAGAATTTCCCTATTAATAAAGCACCAAATATGGATTGCGTATACGTATGTATCAGCAGTTTTTGACTAACACTGGGGTTTTTAATTATCGCTTGTCACTGGGTTCAAATAGTGGACGTTGTCACACATATTATTGTCTAATTATCAATAGGAAAACCCTTATGCCTTTAGTACAGTGTAACGTCGTATAATAATATACTCCATTGATGATGTATGCAAATATAATGACAAAGAGTGAATTCATTATTTTTTGGGGGGTTGTATTACATTTGACGTCAAGGGGCCTTTAACCTATTCTAGGGACATTTCCATATTTTAGCCATGTTCGTTACACACCCACTAAATCCACCTATAATTTAATAATAAATTATTAGAATAAGTAAAAAGCAGACTTGATTAGTGTTTTTAAATATGTTTCGGCATGGACACCGGTAAGTATAAAACCAACAGGAAAAGGATCCCTGTGTTTATCTTGATTATATTTATTCTTCTTACGATATGGTTGAAAGATGCGGTTTTCAATTCCACGAGTAAACTAAATATTTTTTGAGAGAGAGAGAGAGAGAGAGAGAGGGTTTAACGTCCACTGGACATAAACTAGGTCATTTCGGGAATAACATATGGTTTAATTGTATTTCAATAATTCGCTTGCGCGTAGGGGTCTTTAGCAGTGGGAGGAAACCGGAGGACCCGGAGAAAACCCATGAGGTTGGACAGGCGACCCTACTCCTTGTCACGTACAACCGGGGAATCGAAACCACGCCAGTTGCCTCAATGACAGGCTTTATGATACAGCGCACACGTGCTAACCATTCAAATCCAACCCCCCAAATTTTTTAAGGTTTTATGGAAGTTTGTATGTTCACGAATACTGTAGCGGGATTTTTTAAAAAAGTATTTTAGTATTTAAAAAATGTATCATTGTCAATAAACTAAATGTCCACCCTTTAAGAACTGCACCGTGCTTCGCTGGTCTATAATCAACCCGACATGAATTTTGACCAAATACCCAACAGATTAGCATTAGATTAGTCCTTCCTTAATTCTTTTCAGCACACCTGGACTTGTGCACTCAATGACGTTCGTACCTTTTAATCACAAATTATTGCTCTGGGCGATATCACTCCGGACAGTTTGTCCACTCTTATGTGTTACTAATTGAGCGTGCACAAATCTCAATTACAGCTAAACGGTTGATTTGATAAAGAGGTTTAGCCCACAATGGAGTCGGCACAATCCTCTTTTTATTACACGTATTGATCCTTCAAGTGAATTAACGCTCAGAAATCAGTGATTAAAACATTTAAAGCCCATACTTCTCGTGGTCTGTATTTTGGAAGTTTGCGGTTAATAAACATGCCACTAATGCGATTTTAAGCAAACACCCCAACAAAACAATATAATAAACAGGGGGACATCAAGTGCATTTCATAGAATTTCAAAAAGATACGCTGGACAATTTATTACGTTATTTTAGCGCATGCACTCTTCGAGGCGGAACTGGAATTATGTCACAGAATGAACAAAGATTACGTCACGCCAAAGACTAGACATGAATTACGTAATTTTAAGAGCCTACGCTCGGCGGGTGTCCGTCTGTGTATGCGGTATGAGGTCAAGATCACATATTAATATATCATAAACCGACATCAAATGTGGACAGGCCATATTGAGACATCCGTTAGATAATCTGTGGTTGGCAGAGTTATTTATTATATCACATGTCAAACGAAGAGACCCTTGGTCAGTCATGTCCATAGTACAAAGTTATGAGTTCATTATTATAGTAAACTTGACACCGTGATGCACTCGGTGAACTTTGGCTAAACGATCTGATCGTCGGCTTCTACCCATATTATTCTAGCCGTAGTGTTGATTGATTCTGGGCAGACAAATGTTATTTCACAAAATGATTTTCAGTTTGACACCTGAATGATAAAGTTCTTGAGGCATTGTTCTTATGTTTGGACTGGAAGTGGCTATGACTTAAAATGAAGGAGAAAAAATAAACCGCCTTGTTCCATGTTACGAACTTCTATGGTCAAAGACAACATTTTCTGAGTCTCTGAACTGTGTTAAAGAAAGGTTACGGCGTCCGAGTGGTTTGTCCATTGACGACTTTGTTTAGATTCAATGTACTAGAACAAAATAAATTGTACTTTAAATAGAATTTTATTTAACAAGATATCGGTGAACAATTGCGTATTATGATACATATTTGATCTATACTTATGTCAATAAATTCAAACTTGTTATTTTTATCAAAAAATATGACAGAAAGGCGTCAAAAATAGCTTTTAAC